ATATATATATATATATATATATATATATATATATATATATATATATATATATATATATATATAATATATATATATATATATATATATATATATATATATATATATATATATATATATATATATATATATATAGATAGATAGATAGATAGATAGATAGATAGATAGATAGATAAATAGATAGATAGATAGATAGATATACTTATATAGATATATATATATATATATAGATATAGATATACCGGTATAAATTAAAGAGGTGAGCAAGCGCGGGGAATTGAATTTATACCACTACCGACAGAAAAAATCTAATAATATATATATTGTACTTTCTACTAACAGCCTACAGGCTTATAGCAGGAAGAAATACTTTAATCAAAATCCCGCATGAAGTAGAAGTACGTCTCTATACCCCCCCCCCCCTTGTAAAACTTAAATAACAATATCATTAATTGACGTTTATTGTGAAACCTGTTATATACTATGTTATGGATATTGTATATACTATGTTAATATTGTACTTCAGATGCTCTTATTCATTTCCGTCAAGAATAAAAGCAGTGAATATGCACACACATTTTACTGAGAAATAGATTTTTTTTTTGGTAAAAATGGGTCTTGGTTTACATATGTATGTACCTTATTGATATGTAAAAACTGTACCTTACCTCTTTTTTACATATCAATAAGGTACATACATATTTATAATCCAAGGCCCAAGTACCTGTGTAAAAATTAGCTTTTATATAACGCCCTATGAATACACTGGCGAATTTAGAGAGGGGGCCCAGCCCCCCTCCCGTTTTGTGTCCAAAATATACATAAAATTTAATAAATCAATTTTTTTGGGTGTGTCCGTGGGCCCCTACCCAAACTGCCCCCCCCTTCTCAAGATTCCTGGATCTGCCACTGGAATAGGCCGAGTATTTGATACAAAAGACTGTATTCAGGAAAAACTGAAATGTATTGATTAAATCACAAAATTTTACAGCATAATTGTATTTGAATAATGCCTTATTCATTAATATTCTCTTTTCATGTAAGCAAGTTTATTACGAAGTACAAATTGTACTTCGGGATCGTTGCCACGATGCTCTCAGCAAGGAATACCGGTATATATATATACAAATTTTTACCGATAAATTTATTAGGAAAACCTACTACATATATGTATTAGTCTTTCGATATATAAATATATTCACAAATTACAGTGTTATCAATGATTTGCCATTATTTCACACAATATATATATATTCACACAAAAGCTTTTTTTTTTATGTTAAAGCAACTATAATCGCCTCGTTTTTCTTTTTAACATCGGGCTCGATGCTATATATTGTTCTAGAAGCTTCCTTCAATATTACGACTGGTCAATGACGAAAATAATTTGCACATTTTCCTTTTTAATCGGTTATCACAACTTATTTCTTTTATATCATTTAAATCAAGTGTTGATTGAATGATTCAGTAAAGACGTTTAATGAAATAAATAAACGATTGCTTGTTGTCATTTTCATTAAAAATTGCTGGTAACTTAGATCCGCCAACCGGAAACGCCACCGTACTCACGTTTTTGCTATTTCATGGCTGTTTATAGAAAATAAAAGTAGACTTTTAATTTAATGTACGATACTTACAATGCAAGTGAAATCTAAATATAGTTTACGGACATCATCTTGTATCTAGTGTATTCTTAGAGGAGTAAGTAAGAACTCTGGTGCACCCGTTTCGGAGTTTATTTGCAAAATTTATTAATTTATAAGTATATATATATATATATATATATATATATATATATATATATATATATATATATATATATATATATATATATATATATATAAGCGTGTTTACTTCTTTTATCTTGAAATTAATAAAACTACGAATTTTGGGACGCGTTTGATAGGCACACATCCTTGCACTTTGCGGAAGCAGACTTTATCCTTAATATTTAAGAAAAATGGAAAATTGGTTGGGTATTAATGACAAATATAATCCAGAAAATTCAGAGAAGAAAAAAAAACTCACCAGAATTACTAATCATCTCAGTGATGTGAGAAAAGCTATAACAGAGCTCGTGTTCATGTTTACAAACACGGATGGTTGTAGTGATGTGACGAAGAATGTCACTGTGATTGATTTTAAGAGATTTTATGAAATTTCAATTAATTAAACTGACGTTATTTTTTGAATGAAAATAGAAATTTAAAATCGTCCCCTGTTTGTGGATTTTTAAATGTACAAAGTAACGCAACTACAAAATAACCATGGGCCCCTTAGAAAACGCAAACTCCCTGTTTAGTTGATAGGAAAATTTATAAATTTGAAGCTTAATTAAGAAGTGAAGTGGCAATCCCCTTTGCAGAATTGTCGTTCGTTCCTCTCTCAGACACCTCTGCAATGGGCTCGGGTCAAGATTTTTGACATAAATTAAAAAAAAAAAATGGTATTCCAAGGATTGTATCAAATTAAACTAATAAATATCTTACAGGACAAACATTATCGCAGACATTCAATTATTATGAATTAAAACAAACTCAGTATTTCTCGTGCTTATCACTGCGACATACGCAGGCCAACGACAGATCTAGAGGTGACTATGAGCCGATGGTAGTGATGAAGTGGCTCAAACACCAAACACTCCTCCCCCCTGTAGGTTGTTCACGTTTGAGAGAGGAAATGAGGGGTTTTGTGTGTGTGTGTGTGTGTGTGTGAGGGTGTGTGTGTGTGTGTTTTGTTAATTTCCGAGAAAGTTAGCCTCGCTTTCTGCTTTAAACTTTCCCCCGTTAGAATCTAAGGGTTTTGTTGTTGATTGAAATCAATACTGGGAATGATGAAAATTAATATTGGGAATTTTTATATAGTTAATAATGAGGACCTTAGATCATTAATTTTAAAAGGTCCTAAATATAGGGAACCCCGATTCTTCAACTGGCGTCGGAATTTCATAAATATTATGGATTCTGTAGAGGATTACGCCAGGCGTTGGGCCAGACATGGAAAAAGACCTTGACACTTTGTCAGAATGGATTAAATGTATCAGACGTATGTTAAAATCGCGTATTAAAAGATTGAGGGGCAATATGAGAACCATCTACCCTTCTGTATTCAATAATCCAGAAGTGAAAAAAGAATTAGATAGATTACATAATCAGTACGTACCGGTCCCTGCTGACAAAGTAGGTAACAACATTGTCGTTGTTTGTAAGGCTCATTATATTAAATGTACTAGACTTTGACCCGTGCGTGCACGGGTTGACATTGTTAAGAATGCATCCATGTGCATATCGGACATTTACAAAATAGATACATCGACACATTCATATTGTAAGGGATTTTTGAAATAAACAATGAATGTTAATATAATTCTGGGGGTTTTTTTGTGTTTGTTTTGTTTTGTTTTTGTTTGTTTTTTTTTAATTGTTGCGTAACGGCGTAGCGCAGAATGAGTTTGACCACCAGTTAGCTATAAATCAAGTCTTGAGTTCGAATCACGCCGGAGCTTACATAAATTTCACCTTTCCAAACAAATTTAATAAAAGAAATTATGGATGTTCATTGAAAATATGACAACAGCGAAGAGTTGAGCACACTGCTGATACATATCAAGCAAAGTAATGAAAATGAAGAAATGTGCGAAGCTGGTATATTAAATGTATTTTACTGTTACTGTTTCATATTTGGATATTTTACTTGAAAAAAGACGTTAATCTAACAACCAAGCTTTATGATAAATGTGATGACTTTAACTTTTCAATCGTCAACTTCCCTTACTTATGCAGCAATATATATTCATCACCTACATACGGGGTTGATTCGATACGCAAGAGCATGCTCTACGTATGTACAATTTCTAAAACGAGGTAAATTATTGACAAACAAGTTGATGAAACAAGAATATCAGCAGCCTCGTTTAATGTCATCATTTCGTAAGTTCTATGGTCGATACAATGACCTTGTCAGCAAATACAATTTATCTTTGAGTCAAATGCTGACTGAAGTTTTTCATACTAATTATTAGGCCATTATTTACACACTGAATTGTCGACGCATTTTCCCGTTATTTCCCGATCATGACAAGGAGCACACCGTGCGCCGGACGGGTGTGACCGGTCGGCAGGGGATGCTCACTCCTTCATGGCACCTGATCCCACCTCTGATGTTTTGCTCTGCTCCTAATTTGTATTGTTTAATGGACTTTTGAGCTTGAATACCGTTCGTTATCTCCATATTTCATTCATTTATTTGATTACTTTGATGAAATTTAGAGGGTCATTAGGCCGTATTTAGCGAAATAATTATCATTTTTCGTATTTGTGTTTACTTTTTTTTTAAATGAAAATCAACACATATTACAATATAAATATTTGGGTGTTGTCCTAAAAAATAATGGTTAATGTAAGAAAATCTGTGTGACTACATATTTGTTTACTGTATGTATGACTTGCGCCACACGTGGTTTTTGTCAAATTAAATAAAATAAAAAAATAAAAATAAACTGCATATGAATAGATCTATTTTTATAGGCATTTCTGTAGTTTTCAGTTTTTAGTTTTTAGTAAATCCGGGGCATTTCGGTTATTCGAGGGTTCCATTGCATTAGTCGTCTGAAAAGTGCACCGAGGTTTAAAAATACAATTCAAAATTTCTTTTTGTAAATCTTTTTGCCCATATTACATATTTAAGTCATGTTTAATTAGAAAAAAAACATATCAATATTTTATGCATATAGCTTTTCAATATTTTAAACACATAGCTTTTTTGCGATCTTCTGTGGATCTCTTTAGGTCTTCATGTAGGCCTTCAATTAGACACACCAGCACTGGGTTCTTAATATAAATGCTGAAACCAAAAACGGATACCCATTCATCGACTCATTGTATCCATTCGTAAAATTTTTGATTACTTATTAATATTTGAAATAAGTCAATATCTTAATTGTGCCTGAAAATATGAAGAACTGTTAACACGATTAAGAGATTCGAAGAGTATCAACGAAAAACACAAATTCGAGAGAGTTGGGAATCTGGTCTACTAGTTTTACCGCATGCTGCCTGTGCTCGACTCCATGATGTCGGAACTGATTATAATTAGACATAATCCAAGTTGTATCCTGTTGGAATTATTTTATTATCATATATAGGAAAGAAAATTATGTTTATTTAACATTTTTAAAATGGGGAACTGTTTATGTCCAGATAACTCCAATCTGAATAATTCGGCTACAGAACCTGCTTTGCATACCCAGCCTCCCCAGCTAAAACCACCGGAGTCAAACGGGGCAGTTGTTTCTCTGAGTCAAGTGACAATTACAACACCGCCACCAGCATCTTCTCCTGTAGTAAATCCATTGACAGTTCTCCCACAGCCAGGTCCGACTCCAGACTCGATCCACAACACTGTCAAAACATTTGTAGCTCTGTATGATTATGATGCTAGAACTGATGAAGATCTCAGTTTTCGTAAAGGGGAGCATTTAGAAATAATTAATGACACCCAGGGTGATTGGTGGCTTGCAAGATCAAGGACAACGAAAAATGAAGGCTATATACCATCCAATTATGTAGCCAAACTTAAGAGCTTAGAATCTGAGCCGTAAGTAAGATGCATCTGTACATTTTTTTGTAAAGATTCTTTGTTTGTTAGAACCACTCTAAACCTTTTTTGAATAGTTTAATGGAGCTATGTAGCTTATTCAAGTATTCAACCTATATAGCTAAATCAAGAGATTGGGCCAGATTTTTTTTCTTCAGTTGGATGGCTTCTGTAGGAAAATAAAATGTCATGAAAAATCACTAGTTATGTGGTAAAATTGAAGAGTTTTCTTCTCATTTCGAGCATTAAGTGGGTGTTTCCTGCAGGTAAATTATTCAAAGCACATTGATAACTGTTAAAATGTAGTAACATACAGATCTGTGCCAAAAGTGAAGATAATTTTATTTTTCTCTATATATTTTATTTGAAAACCACATCTAGTTGAATCACTGGCAGATGGTCAATTTTTGTCCAATTTCATTATTCATTTTCAGTACTTAAACCAGAAAATGTGTAGTTATCTTTTTCTAAAAGATCATTACATATTTAGTTTTTAGTAAAAGATAGTTCATCATTTACATCAGTTCTATACTGAAACGCAAAAGAAACGCAACATCCTATTTTAGGGGGAAATATTATATATAGGATATAATTTTGTATCTAAAAAGTAAGGACATTTTCAACTTTGTAAATGTCGGCAATTTAACGGTTGAATGATTTTCATACCATTACCGGAAGTTAAGTTTGAATCCGCTTAACAGAAATAAAAAATTGCATGTTTCACAGAACATTTTAGGAGTGACTCTAATTCTTGGCCAAATTATTCGAGTATAACCTGGTTTGGGTCAGTTTACGCTTTATAATCCGCGAAGCGGATTATAAAACAGCGTAAACTGACCCAAACCAGGTTATACTCGAATAATTTGGCCAAGAATTAGAGTCATTCCTTATAATTTAATTTTAAAATCATTAAATAACTATGGGTGTAAAATTTCGTTGCTTTTTATTAGTTCAAATTTGCCGCTCAATAATACAACCGTAGTAACGGAAGTGATGGGAAGCGAGGGGAGGTAAAAACTGATACAAAGGCCTAGCAGCCTTGTTGTTTGTTTACATGTGGTAGGATCGAATTATTGTTTGAAGTTAAAGGTACATTTATTAACTATGGAATTTTCCATGAATCCCGAGGACTGGAAATGAGAGGATTGTATGGATACAGATGATTCAGCTGGTTGTTGGGGGAGGGGGGTGTCCCCATACCAAACCAGGTTATACAGAAATAATTTGTGTTCCTTTTTGGATATTAACCAATCAGAGGCTAGAATACAAACAAAATTAAATTATTTAGCAATAATATGGGGTTTATGGGGTTTGTATCTGTTCATCATAAGTAATGCAGCAATATTCCGAAAAATAAATTCTCCTCTTTCTTTTCATAAAGCAATGCCAAGACTTCCTGAAAATGACGTAAGTACGCATTTCCATTGCTCTAGCTGGAAAATCTCAAAATAAAGGTGATGGAGAGTTGCAGATGCAAATATGCACTACATTACTCCTCAAGAGGCTCTTATGTATCATTAGCATGAATGACAGTCCTTGGACCGGAAGTCCAAGGGTTACTACACTGCGCTAGGCTAGAGAAAATTCGACCTTATCATCTGAAAAACGAGCATTTAAAAATGGCAAAGAATATTTCTTTCGCTCAGATCTCGAAATAGATAAACCTACTGCATCGTAGAAATCAAGCTGCAATTGTTGGGCATGGCAGTCTTGCACGCTGTATTTGAATGGCTGGAGTGGGGTTGTTTTAACAGCCATGTGTTACTTTCTAAAGCTAGAAGATAACCATTGAACATTTTTATCAAATCTCTGATGTTTTTAAATCGTGTTTTACCGTACTGTATTCATTTTTGAAAATCATTGGATAAAGAATTCAAATATTTGTAGATTACTGCTTGTTGCGTTTCTTTTGCGTTTCAGTATATAATTGGATCAAGATCAATGTGTCACTATATGATTCATTGTGCCTAAATGACTTAAATTTTCATGTCGCTCTTAAATTACAATAGAATTCAAATATTTGTAGATTACTGCTTGTTGCGTTTCTTTTGCGTTTCAGTATATAATTGGATCAAGATCAATGTGTCACTATATGATTCATTGTGCCTAAATGACTTAAATTTTCATGTCGCTCTTAAATTACAATATTTTTTAAATGTTGATGCTGATCAGATAAAAACTATTGTTTTTATCAAATATAACAATTTCTTGGATTATTGAGAAATTTGTACTAAAATCTGTCAAGAAATGTTTTCATTCCAGTGATTTTACAAAATGTTGTTTTCAATGAAATATACAGAGAAAAAATAAGATTATCTTCACTTTTGGCACACATCTGTATATATAACCCAGAAGCATACAAACTTACTTCTTAGTATCTCTAATAAAATCCAGCAGATCTCTCTCTGCATTTACTGTGACATCATATTTTCAACATGTGCTTATGGTTGCACTAAAAACCCACTACACTTCCCCCCTCTCCCATATAATTATTAACAAATAAAGTCAAGGTGTCAAGCACAGCGCTATAATCAGTTCACACACTTAATCATGGGAACACAGATCAGCCAATAGTACATATAGGGCTCCACCATTTGGTAGGGTCCTCCATCTAGCATGGGACCACTTCCTATTGGGATACTCCAGAGATCTACAGTTTTCCTTCCTACCTCTGGCACCAAAGTGACAGACCAGGCATAAGGCAGATCAAAATAATACCCATGTATTGGCCTTTTCTGTGGAAGCTAGGAGAGCACGGGGTCCTCCAAGACCTCACAAACATAATAAAATTACTTGGTACTAAACTGAATTTACAATGGTTTCTAGAATTCTCCTTAATTTGAAACTATAAACTGATCTGTCCAACAGTGTGATAATACTATTTATACACACAAACATGCAATAAAAATACTCATTAACGACCTAAACATCACTAAGTAAAGTAATTAAGGACCCTCTATACACTGATGAAAAATGTTTTTTGGACTTTGAAAAAATTATATATCTTAAAGGAGGATTTTTTTAAATTAACTAATTCATTTTTAATATAGGGAGCGTGCCTTTTTTATCCGGGAAAAATCTTCAAAGACAATGAAGTAATGATTAAGAAAAATTGCTTTTCCTTACTCAGATAGAGAAAATACATGCAAATAATGTCTTCAACTAATCTATCTTGGTCTAATATAATGTTTAGAACACTTGAATTTATTTTAAATTATGTCATACAGTGCAGATTACAATTTATTCTATTTTATGTCAAGTGGCAGGTCAGTCTAACTACACAAAAGTACCCTGAAATTAGGGTGCAGTGTAGAGAGGGTCCTTAACATGCAACAAACAAACACATGATAAAACGTCCTCCCTGGCTGCCTAACTGCACTCTGGGCAGATGTTTATGGGCATCTTTACTGCAAGTTTAACAAAGATGCCAACATACTGCAGGTGGAATCAGTCTTTGCATATGCTACATTGCACCATCAGCCCATAGGGTTATATATCCTACACAAACAGTACTGTTGGTGGCACCACGTTTTTAGGAAAATCTCAGCTGGGGCAGAAATCTGAGATTTGAGGTGAGATTTTTGTTTGTTGTTGGCTCCGAAGTCTGGTTCCAACAATTCCTCATGCAGTAGCCATTTCATCTTTTGCACAATGACTGAATGTGTCTTGCAGATGTGCAATAGTGTTTCGGACTCTAAATTTTCACCCTTGCGAAATGGGGGTTGAAAAATGACATTTTTCCAACTTCTGATTTGGATCAATTGTTTTTTTCCCTTTTTTTCTATGAAAAAAATCAATTTTCTGATGTTCTTTCTTTTAAAATCACTTGTTAATCACAGGGTGTTTCATAGTATATGTTACATTTTGAATCTAAAATTTGACAAATACAAAAACAATTTTCATCAATTCGATGCATGTATCCATTAAATTCATTATGTACAACTACCAACTAAAATATTAACACTGGTCAAAATGTCAAACTTAAAGGAAAATTAGTGAAATTTCTAAATTGCATCATTTTTGTAACGTTGAAGTTTACAACCTCAAAACTCAAATAACATGATCAAAATAAACTCCGCCTATATTAACTGCAAGAGAAAGTTGCTTCTTGATTTTTTTTTATAACATTGTCCCACATTTTTGCTGAGACATTCCTCTTCTGAAGTTTTATGTTCTTTTTGAGCTCATACAGTATCTGTGGTTTAGGATTTTAGACTCTGTTCTTAAGGAATCTCCAAAGAAAATTAAAGGCATAAAAATTGAGATCTGGCAAATGCAGGGGTCAAGCTCTCCCTGGGGTGTTGCATTAATGGAAATTTATACCTTGATAACTTCATTTTATATGTCAGATTTCAATGTACTCTGTAAATGCTGGTATTGGCAGCATCAATTTCTGAAAAAACCCCCCATCTTTCTGACACTTTTAGGAGGAGTTAGGTAAACTTTATAGAATCTCCACTTCATCAATGAAATCTACTGTTCTTGAAGTCCTTTTTTTTTTAAAAAAATTATTGTGTCATTTCCTGTCCTTTCACTTTTATACTAGCCTTCTGATTAGCATCCAAGAACATGAAGAAAGCTTTCATTCTTTGGAATATTTTCCTTCATCAACTTCTGAATGAATGTGTTGGCAATTTGTATTGAAAAAAAAGTTTTACAGATGTTACAATTCAGCAAAATGGTAATATGTCCATTTTGAAAAAAATATTCAAATCATGACATTGGCATTGATGTCACACAATTAAAATTAAAATCAAATGATTTCCTTGACTTTTTCACATGGAAGAAAAATACAGGATTTGATGTTTAAAATGACATATCGGGGCTAGAAATAATTATTTTTGTTTACTGGTCACTCAGGCTATATTGCCTTACATTTTTACTGGTCAGCTTAGTACTTTCACTGTCCTACTGGGCCAGTAGATTTTAGAAAGACTGGCCCAAAACCATAATAATAATATTTTTTTTATATTGTGATACTTAGAAGCACAACTTAACAAAACAAGAAACAGCAGAAGTTGGGACACACAACCCTGTCAAGTTAACTAGCCCGACTGGGAATGCATTTTATTATGCATAAAAAAAATGCTGACCCAAAGGGCACATGCCCTCTGCAATGTACTAGCCCAGATTGAAAATTCGCTGGCCCCAGACCAGCAGGCCATCAATTATTTCGAGCCCTGCATATGATTTGTGTAAAAAAAAAAAAGAAAGGTAAGAAAAATATTCAGATTTAAAAGTAATGTAACATATATTATATTCATTACGATCTTGAATTTCAGACCAGTAATGAATTTATTATATATAAATTACTAGAAACCCATGGTCATATTCTCACCTGTGCCTGTTGTGCTCAATTTGATACATGCATACAATGATACATATTTTTCTTGTCAAGAACAGCAGAGCCTTGAATAGTCATATTAATATGAAAACATCCTCAGGTAGTGCAGATTCAGGTTTGTTCAAATTGGGGCCCTGGGATGGATTGGGACAACAAGAGATAAAATTTTTACATGGGAATATGTAAGAAAAAAATCTTTAAACTTTTCCTCGAGAAAGGCAGGATCATGATATGCCAGCATCTTCTGGTAATGCAGATTCAAGTTTGTTCCAATTATGATTGGGGGGGCGTCACAATTGGGGTCAAAGTTTTATGAAGAAATAGGGAAAAAAGCTTTAAAAATTGTTTGCATGAAGGGTTTTATGTGTGGCATATATTGAAATTTATTATAATGTTCTTCGTTTCATTTACTCAGAAATTTAACTGGGACAAGCTGAACAAGTTAAATAACAAATAAGGAGTTCTAACTGGAGAATGTATGTGGTATAAGTCTAAGCCAGTTCCAGGTAGGCCCTAATTGGTCAAAGTCTGACAAACTCATCATACTCAGATGACCGTGGGTCTCTTGTTGTGAAAGGAATCAGTCTGGAAAAAAGTTAAGAATTCTCATTAAATAATCTTTTCTTGCAGATGGTATTTTGGAAAAATTAAGCGAGTTGAAGCTGAAAAGAAATTGTTATCTCCAGAAAATGAACATGGGGCATTCCTTATCAGGGACAGTGAGAGCAGGCGCAATGACTACTCACTATCTGGTATGTATAACTGGTTATAGTATAAGTTTTGGCTCTTCTTGGCTGTAAGCATAGTGTGAGCCTTTCTTACTACCCCTTTTCCTGTGTCTGTCTCACTGTTTCTCAACTTTTACAGGTTTGAGATTTTTCAAGAACCACTTTGCTAATTTTGACCTGATATGGTATAGAGCTTTCTGTAGGAAAAGGGGTTCAAAATTGTTCAAATGAAGGGTAATGTTCTATTTCAAGGGGAGAAATTTTTTTTTTTTTTTTTAAAAAGGGGGTTGAGTAATTTTGAAATGTCTGTTTGAAGTAAGGCCACACCAATTTAATTTATTTTTCTTTGGACTTTTGACAGGAAAAAGTTCAAGGGCATGTTGCTTTTGTCCTGCATGGCCATTTGTCATTCTTTGTTTCTGTCATAAACTTTAACCTTACTAATAACTTCTGAACCATCTGTCTTTAAACTTCTCACATTTTTGACTTCTTCTCCTGAACCACAGGGCCAATTTCAACCAAACTTTCCACAAAGCAAACGCCACCATCTTTCAAGGGGAGATTATTAAGCAATAGTGAAAATTTAGTGGTACATGTATCTTTTAAAAATCTTCTTCTCAAGAACCACAGGGCCAAAAAAGTTGTTAAACCTTCTTTTAGATAATTCACATCATGTCCCCAGAACTAGGGTGGAGCAACAATTGGGGATCATAGTACTATATAGAAAAAGATCTTTAAAAATCATCTTCTGAAGAACAGCAAAGGCATAATAAGTCATATTAATATGGAAGCATCCTCAGGTTGTGTAGATTCAAATTTGTTCAAATCATGGCTCCCAGGGGTAGGGTGGGGTCACATTGGGGGATCAAAATTTTACATAGGAATATATAGGAATAAATCTTTAAAAAGTTTCTTCTCAAGAACAGCAAAGCCATGTTCAGTCGTATTGATACAGAGACATCCTCAGGTAGTGTAGATTCAAGTTTGTTCTATTCATGACCCCCCTGAGGTAGGATGGGGCCACAATAAAGGATCAAAGTTTCACTTAGGAATATATATATGAGACGTTGATTTATATGGTCTCATATGAAGGACCGGTCGCCATGTCTAACAGTTGGATTTGAAAGGATTAATTCCTTACTTTGCGACTCTAGAGCAGACGCACTAATCACTGAGCCAGGCAGGCATTACAACTATGTTTTAAGAAAAATGCTTTATATAAGTTTTCTTTCAAAATGTGGATAATATCAAGATCAGTTGTGAAAAAATTCATTTTCCCTGGTTTCACCTACAGCTATTGAATCCACCTCACTTTTAAAAATTGGATAGAAAACTCTGTTGGAGATGGAAGACCTTAGTAAGAAGAAGAAAAAGTAGAATCACTATAAGGTTTTCTGTGAAGTCTTATTTTGTAGAGATGCAATCGTATGAGAAACCTCTGGTATTTTAACTTACAGTTCGAGATGGAGACACTGTGAAGCATTATAGAATTCGACAATTGGATGAGGGAGGGTTTTTCATAGCTCGACGGGTCACTTTCCGCACCTTATCAGAGTTAGTAGATCACTACAACCTAGAAGCAGATGGTCTATGTGTCAATTTACGAAAGCCTTGCACACAGGTAAGTTTTTAAAGTGATATTCTTGCATCCAGTATTTAATTAAATCTTCCATCCTACTGTCTGTCCTTCCATCATTTTGCATTTAACTTGGATTCAAAGAAACTATTCAAGATATTAAACTTCATAAACTGAAACATTGATGAAAGCTACTTAACTGACCATAACCTTTATATATTGATGAGAGCTTTTCAACTGCATCAACATTTTTTTTTTTATGGCGTCGACCTCTAGAGCTCGAACATCATCTAGCTATGGCCCAGTCAAAATTGCCATCGTATTTTACGTGACCGAATGTGTCAGTCGATGCATCCACAAAAGAAAATAGTAATAGCTATAATCAATTTCTTTGAAAATGCTCACAACTGATAATAGCTTGAAAATAAAATTGCATCAATTATATCTACAATTAATTCTATTACAAAACAAAGAGACTATGTTTATTTTCACACAAGAAAAACGTGATAGTTGTTGTGGATGAATTTTAAAGAAAGGGCACGTCGAATGACATGAATAACGTTTCGGAACGATAACGATGTAACACAAACAACCCAACAGCCGATAAAACGTTCGCAAAATTACATAAACACAAATACTAGAAGACTAAAAAGGATAAAAAGATTGAATTTCTAAATCTTAACTTACTTCTTTTTACAATCTTATAACCAATTTTATCATTAAAACCGAAGTTATTGACCTGTATTACTATATTTATCCATTTCCTCCATTTCCCAGTATACCCGTATACCACACCCGATCGTAACTCCATTGTAATCGTAATAAAGCAGAGTTATGGTTGTAGTTTAGATGTAATTACTAAAACGGCGCCTAGACATTGGCAATTAGGAAAGAATCTATTCAAGATACCCAAGATGCTTTTGTTTAACTCAGATACATAATATGGTGAGCATTTATCAACTGTGTCAGGAGCTGTAGATCCCTCATTCAAGGGGCTGACCCAATTTTAGTGTTGTCACATGAAAGCTCTTGAAATATTGCACAACTTTTATTCTATGTTTTAACAAAATATTTCTAATTTAAAAGATACAAAGGAAAATATGCCTAAATTTTTACCCTTTTAGGCATCCCAATTTTTTTTAACCCTGTTTAGTGCCATTTTGAACCCTGTAATCAAAAAACAAAAAATGATGTACACAACAACAATGCTTCTACTTTTTAATTTTATAAGTTTTTAGCTCACCTGAGCTGAAAGCTCAAGTGAGCTTTTCTGATCACCCGTTGTCCGTCGTCTGTCTGTCCATCTGTCCGTCCGTCTGTAAACTTCTCACATTTTCGACTTCTTCTCAAGAACCCACTGGGCCAATTTTAACCAAACTTGGTACAAAGCATCCTTGGGTGAAGGGGAGTTTAAATTGTTAAAATGAAGGGCCAAATCCCCTTCAAAGGGGAGATAATCAAGAAAATACAAAAATTGGGTGGGGTCATTAAAGAATCTTCTTCTCAAGAACCACTGGGCCAGAAAAGCTGAAACTTACATGGAAGCATCCTGGGGTAGTGTAGATTCTAAATTGTTCAAATCTTGACCCCGGGGGGTAGGGCGGGACCACAATAGGGAATCCAAGTTTTACATTGAAATATGTAGGAAAAATCTTTAAAAATCTTCTTCTCAAGAACCACTGGGCCAGAAAAGCTGAAACTTATGTGGAAGCATCCTGGGGTAGTGTAGATTCTAAATTGTTCAAATCTTGACCCTGGGGGGTAGGGCGGGACCACAATAGGGAATCCAAGTTTTACATTGAAATATATAGGAAAAATCTTTAAAAATCTTCTTCTCAAGAACCACTGGGCCAGAAAAGCTGAAACTTATGTGGAAGCATCCTGGGGTAGTGTAGATTCTAAATTGTTCAAATCATGATCCCCAGGGGTAGGGCGGGGCCACAATAGGGAATCCAAGTTTTACATTGAAATATGTAGGAAAAATCTTTATAAATCTTCTTCTCAAGAACCACTGGGCCAGAAAAGCTGAAACTTATGTGGAAGCATCCTGGGGTAGTGTAGATTCTAAATTGTTCAAATCATGACCCCCAGGGGTAGGGCGGGGCCACAATAGGGAATCCAAGTTTTACATTGAAATATATAGGAAAAATCTTTATAAATCTCCTTCTCAAGAACCACTGGGCCAGAAAAGCTGAAACTTATGTGAAAGCATCCTGGGGTAGTGTAGATTCTAAATTGTTCAAATCATGACCCCCAGGGGTAGGGCAAGGCCACATTAGGGAATCCAAGTTTTACATTGAAATATGCAGAGCCACAATAAGTACAACGGGGGAGGGGGGGGGGGGAGAGAAATCAGGTGAAAAACAGCAAGGCCAAAGTTACTCAGGTGAGCGCTGTGGCCCATGGGCCTTTTGTTTTGTTTTTGTTCCAATTATATAAGTCCCAGAGCCATTCAATGTCTGGAAATCAAAACCCATAAAACAGAGAGAAATAACTCATATGAAAGCTAAAAAAAAAAAAAAAAATTTTGGATTGTATTGCAATACATGTATTTTGTAAAGTGTATAATTTCAGAAAAAATGAGCAAAATCCATTCATAAGTTATTACTTCTCAAAGTCAGTATCTAGGAAAAGAATACTCCTAACCAGCATGATCAGTAGAAGGTCTTTCAATGAAACAGTAGACCTTAAATAAATCTTCAGTCTATATAAAAAGTATGTATATTTCTTTAATTTCCCCAAAAAAACCCAAAAAACAAAACAAAACCAGAAAAAAAAAACTGAAAACAAATAAGCAAAATATTTCATTCACAGTTTACTGATAAAACTGAAAAAAAATCTGCATGGTTCTTGCTGCACAATCAAAATTGAACCCAGTTCAGGCAAGATCTCTCATGAAACACAAACAGTAACACACCATGTTCCATGAACAATTCTGCACAATCAATTTGTCATCAATAACATTGCAGCCACTGCACTGTATTGATAGTCCATGTAACACTTAACAATTCAAATTTCTAAAATCATTTAGAGTTTTAGAATTTTAATATACCGGTATTAGTTCAAATTTCTAAATTTCAAAAACAAACTGATTTCGTAATCGCCATTTTCACAGTATTTGTGTTTTTTCGTACTCACTTATGTTATAATGCACTTTGCATCAAAATATATGATTAAACCCTTAACAATTATGACCAAATTATGACAAAATGGTACCCCTAACAAGTTAAATGATATATAACACTCCCATGTTCTAGACAATAAAAATATTAAAGATTTACTACCTAAAATATGGGGTATATTTTGCGTTATGCTGTTGCAGCTGAAAAATGGCTTTGTTTTCCAGTTTTTGTTTCAGGAGATTTACAATAGAAACTCTTAGTCACAGATGTCAAATCATTGTGAAATTATCCCTCTTTTATATGCAATTTACTGTATGTAAATCAACAAAATATTAGCGAAATTATGTTGAAATATGTGAAAATGCAGATACGTTATGAAATTTAATAAAATTCTACTGTTTGAACTTGCAGTTTAAAAAAAATATATGTTAATGCATTACTTTTACTTTAGGTTCATTTTAAAATTAGAGTTAAATGATAAATGAAACAATAAAGAAAAGTTTGAGTGGATTCTTCGGAACTTTAGAAAATGACACATTTTCTTCTTACTGGTATAAAAATGTCCCAAAATTCTGTAGTGTCCGCAACATGTGCTTATTCTGGAATGCATTATGAATTACATTTCTTTTATTTTACATGTAAGAGGCCAGTACAGCTACTAATCTATCTACCAAAAAATATCAGACTTTAGCTCAGTGTTGCTTGGAATTCTAGCAAATATATTGTGTTTTGTAGAGTCCGCAATGCTGTAGAGTCCGCAACAGCTTTTTAAATTCACAGTTTCTTCAAAGAAATGTAACATGATTTCAATTGATCATCACTATAATTGTTCAAATATTCAATACAAATATGTAAGGTTACAAAACTTAGTGGAACTATAACTTCATACTTTGAATAACACCCATAACGACTTGTTTATACATAATATTCAAAATCTTTCAATTGTCAGTCTTATGTTATATGTTGAAAGTTAATTTTCATGTGGTATTTAAAACTGAATAAGTGGAAACTAAAGAATATATCAAGATGTTAATTGTTAATTAATAAGTCTAGTTCTAATTAATACAGTTGTGTTGCGGACACTACAGTAATAACTATATACCACATTCATTTATTATTTTCACTATTTATTTCATTAAATATTTTTGAAATGTAAAACACTTCTCTGATATTTTGCTCCTTTGATAATACAATTAGTTAACTGGATTAAGATAACAAATGGTGATTTTTGTACAAGATAACACTTCAAACTTACTGGTATATATATGGGTTTTAATTTCCAAGCCGGATAGCCATTTCTGACTAGCCTTCTTTATTTCCCTATAATACAACACCATTTACTGTACATATAGAACTAGTTAGAGATTAAGATTTTCAGTTTACTCCATTAAAACCAAATATGGTGTCATATAGCAATATTTCAATATATTGTAGTGTCCGCAACAATTTCAATACTGAAAAAAAAATTATGGATGCCTCAGTAAATTCTTTAATTCATTGAATTTATCTATAAAACTATTTGTTATAACTTCTTTAATTGTATTAAAATAAGTAAAATCACAGACATTTTTTAAAACTGCAAAACAATTATACATCAAGAAATAATTAGTGCTCCTTGTTATGTGGTTATTTTCATCTCAATAAACCACATTCTGCATCTTTTTATATGGTACATTTTCAAGAGTTGATCCTGTGGTATATAATTCAGCCTAGAAATGAACATTTATCAACAATTATTTTTATAAAAATAACAAAAGATTATTCTTATGGTTACTTGTAGTGTCCGCAACAAAAATACTAGGCATTTTCAAAGGTAGACAAGATACAAACGAAGATATCCAGGGTGTTATGACAAATGTATTTGAAATATAGAAGTATTCAATTTAATTTTCACATGATAATTATATAGGTCTTATGTGTGAT